CTGCGACAACGAATGGGGGAGGGTTGACGGTAAAAAAAAAAAGGGGAGGAGGGGTTTACCGAGCTCAATCCAACGACCCCCACGTTGGTTTGAAGTTGAAAGGCTAAAATGCCCTTGGATTTTTCCTTAACTACGAAAATGATTGGCTTCAAAATCTTTGCCTTTTCTCGGCGTTGATGAAAATTTTTCCAACAAAACGAGTTCCGAAACTGAACGAAAGCTGGATTATATCTATATTTATTAATTTAAAAAAATTTAGAATTAAAATTAAAAATTTTAAATTTTTATATTATTAAATAATCAATCTTTTAACGTATAAATTTTTTTTCAAACTTTGACTACTTATTTTTAAGAATAAAAAATAATTAAAAACAAAAAATAATTAAATTATAATGCTATATAATATTATAAATTTTTATAATTAATATATATTATTAATTAATAAATTTTTTATTTAAAATTTTACTTATAATATTACATATTTATTTAATAATATAATATGACAATTTTTTTAACATTTACAATTAAAATGTCTCGAATTAATTTTTGTACATCTTTAAACTATTCTAACTTAGATAATTTTAAAAATGCATTCCTTATGTTAGTATGATAATCTAAGAAAATTAATTTTTTAAATATTTACTTTAATAATTGAATTTTAAACTTAACATGCAATACAATACTTATTTATTAATAAATTTAATTTTTAGTATTATAATATAATATAATAATATATTTATAATTTTATATAATATTATAATTATATCATTACATTTTTCTCTCAAAAGTTACGCAGGCAATTTCGGGTTTTTTTTTTTTGGTTGGCGAGTTTCAACTTCCATGGTTAATTCCTTAAGCACTAAGCATCTATTCCTTAAGCACTAAGCATCAATGGTTAATTCCTCGAAATTCTCAGAGGAATTTCAAATTTTCTTGGGAATGAATCCCCAAAAAAAAAAAAAAAACACTCACATGAATAATTAATTTTGTATTGAAAACGGTTAATCAATATTTAAATTTGTATTCAAAGGAATTAGTAAGATTTTGTATTGAAAACGGTTAATCAATATTTGAATTTTTACATAGGTAGATGATGGACCATTAGAAGAGTCTCTCAGTACTGCTTGTGGTATCCTTTTAACAAGTGATTTGGGAGTGTGTTTGGGCGTTCCCGTCTTACATGGTAGGCAAAAAACATCAACGTAAATTTTTGCTTGAGAAGATTCAAGTGAAATTATCATGTTGGAAGCAGAAGCTGTTGAGCATGGCAGGGAGGTGGGTCTTGGTTCAATCGGTTACTTCTGCAATTCCAACATACACAATGCAGTCAATCCTTCTGCCCAATTTTGTTTGCGCTACCATTGATCGCTTGAATCCAAATTTTCTTTGGGGCTCTGATGTAGCAAATAAGTGAGGCTTATGGCCTGTTTAGTGTAACTTATTAGAGTTTTTATTTTTTTAATACTATTTATGAATTATAAGTTTAAAAAGATTACTATCTTCTTGGCGAAGAGGCGTGGTGAAGACCTCAGCAATCAATTCAGCTTATCGGATCTCATTGTCGCATCCATCGCAATGATGCTCTTTACCATGCCACCTAGGACGAGCAAGGCTTGTAAGCTTGCTATATCCCTCAGTTTTTCGTATTGTCAATGGTGTATTTACTGTAATTCCATTTTCATCACAATTCTAGTAGTTTTTGAGAATTGCATCAAAATTGACCATTGCTAAACTTGATTTCATATGATTGTGGAATGAAAATGCACGTTTATTTTCATCAGAGAGTTTGGTGGGTTTGAGAAAAACCCAGATCTAGAGAGGAAGAAGAAGGGAGAAGAGAAAGAGAAAGAATAAGAAGAAGAAAGAAGAAGGATGAGCAAGGAAAGGAAGGAGGAAGGTTGATAGAGATGCTAAGCTTCAAGTTTTAGGGTTTACAGAGGTAAGGGAAAAGGAAAGATAAAGGAGAGAGAAAGTGAAAGAGGAAGAAGTGATTTTTTTTTTTTCTGACGTGGATAAAAAAAAAGATATCATTATTTTTAAATTAAATAAAAATGCCAAATCATAAAAAAAAAAGATGGTCAACTATGCCTTTTTTTCCTTGTCATTAGTTAAGAATAAAAAAAATTGATTCGTCAGTAAGTTAATGTGCCACTTGTCCATTTAATTGACGGAAGGGTTATTTTGGTACAAAAAATAAAAATTTAAGGATAATTTTGGTATTTTTTAAAGTTGAAGGATAATTTTGATGCCAAAGTGGAAAGTTGAGGGATCAAAATGATATTTAAACCAAAAAAAGAATAATGATAATGAAGAGGCCCAAAATTTAAAATTAATAACATAATATATTATTAAATTAATTGATATATATAATATTACATATTCTAAAAAACAAAAAAAGTTAATCATTAAAAAATATAAATCCACATTTTAATATTTTAAATAAAAATTGCATTATTAATTTCAAATTTTAATCTCATTTATTATTATTTAAAAAAATAAAAGCTTAGTGGGTTTAATATTTTAACTAGGCTAATATAAAGAATTTACTCATTTCAATTAAAATGAAAACGAAAAGGAGAAAAATGTTATCAACTAAATTTGTGAAAAATTAAGAAAAAATTCAAAAATTATATTATTTTAATAGATTTTAATTAAAAAATTAAAACAACTTTGTTTTTAAAAT